AGAGACTCAAGTGGAGGCATGCTGGGCTGCTAGTACCTTGCCAGGATGACGATCTGCTTGGCTCTTGGCGGCAAACTGTCTTTCTGTATTAGAGATGATTCATGCAAGCAGCCAATCAAAGAAGTGAACGATATATGAATGCATGGTGTTGCTCCGCGCCAATATTCTGAGTACGCGTTGACTCGTTCAAGACGACAGCTTCCATGCCAATTTTTCTTGTGACTATAATAGACATACTAGATCTACCTAATCTGGCATAGCGCTAAAATCGGCTGGCGCAGACTGGCAAGGCAGATGGGCGGAACGCATAGGTTGTTGCACATGTGACTGCTACAGCCTGCGAGAGCGCCAAATCTAGACAGGACAGCGGCCGCTACTCTTGACCCTATTAGCTCCACCGGTTCTCGCATTCCACACACATCCAACGGTCTATTGTGACTCTTTCCATCTGCCTTTCCTCGCAGTCTCTCTAGTATGGCTCTTGACAATCTGCAACTGCGGGGCGAAAATAAATTCACGTTTCCGCGTGGCGCCAGCGGCCGTTTTACGCCCATGGCCTGCGAGTGACCAGCTCTCGCGATTGCCCAGCGCAGGGTTGATGTTTCTTGTTCTGAACAAAACCACCGTGGCTTTCTCCCGCTCATGCCGCGCCAGAAACAGCGCCTAGTAATGAAGCTGGCCACCTGTGCAACCCACCAGACGACTGAAAAAAAACTCGAGATGCTACACCTCCCTGCCCTCCACCCTCACGTCCATGAATAGCTAGAAAACACTTTCCGCACGCCTCCCTGACCCACGTCCCATTCCCGATCAGGGGTGATCCTTGTACCCTGTGGGCCGAGCACAGGGGCCAACGTCAACCAAATCGTGCATACATGGAACAGCGGCAAACCATGGCGGCCGCGTATAGCGCAAGGTTGCACTTGTAGCCCGTTTCGGTGGGTGTACCGGACACGTCCGTTGCGCAACGGCAGGCTTATAGAGCAACAAACTGCAAATAATGTACACTTCAGTTCTGGTTCAGTGTCCACTCATTCCGATGTAAAGAAAGATCCAAATAAGGCCGGTAGCGCAGGCGCGGGTGCGCCCGTCTTAGCATAATTAGGCCACTGACCAAAATTGGCTATAATCAGTTTGCGGACGCTAAACCTAGACTTCCCTGTACTATGGTGATATATGTATAACTGAAGCCGTTTTTGCACTCGCTGCGTAGAATCGTGTTTTTGCGTGGACGCCATGACTGCTAGAGCATTTCTCCCTGATCATACGAAGAAAGAAAAAGAGACTGCACGAAAGCGTGGTCCCAGCTTACAGAAGAAGACGAAGCAGTTAGGGGAGATAGCCAGAATACGCACACTTACCCTGTATGAAGATCCAACGCATGGTGTTTGGCACGTTGCGATGCACTGTCCCACTGGCAAGTCATTCCCGGATCTCAATGCACTGGTAAGCATCGAAGATCCCTGCGCAGCAGAGCATGCCACTCACAAGGCTTCCTTAGGTGAATGAGTTTTCGAAAGCCGGCGAACCACCGAAAGTGCGTGACGTCAGCGGGTGTCGTCCGGGCCGCGCTGCCACCATCTCTCGAAAGACCAACATTTCAGGCCGGCATCGCAGGGCGCGAAAAGCCGCCGACGTCCCCCAGAGTATCTACGATGTACCGGACGACGACGATGACGAAGCATATCCTGCGCCTATCACTTGCACATCACCGAGCAGAGAAGCGAGCCTTGACGAATATACGGTGGCAGAGGCTGCCACAGTGGGAGAGACCAATACAGTGGGAGAGACCAATACAGTGGGAGAGATCAACATGATCGGAGAGATCAACATGATCGGAGAGACCGATGCGGCGGGAGAGACTGATTATACAGTAGGCCTGGAGCATACTGCGATTTGGGCTGATGAGATGGCGGGCATGGAAGACACGGTGGCCTGGGAAGCTGGCGCCGGGACGGGCATGGAGGGTTGGGACGTGGGAGGCCTGGAGACGGAGAACCCGGATCTGGCATGGGATTCATCAACTGCCCCCGAGGTGGCCAGCCACCCCCTCCAACAAAACAACACAAAACACTACGAAACACAGCAAGGCGAGCTGTCCAGAAAATGGGCATGGTATGCTCTCATGGAGGCACTCGCCCAGCAGCGGCGACTCTACTTTAGTCTGTGGTGATCCATGTTCTGCAGTTGAACAAAAGTTTCATTTGATACCGTCTCGTAATTCTATGAATATATTCCTCCCTCGCCGTCTGTTAGAGACCTGCCTTGAGGTGATGCTTGGAAGGTGGCAGACGGTCCACTGCGAACTGGGACCGGCCTTTGCGGCCTACACTCGGCAGTGAGAGTTGAGAGGCTCGGAGGGAAGCTCGACGCAATATTCCGGTGGAAAG